TGGGGGGGGGGGGGGCGTGCCGTTTTTATTTGTGTCATGCTTGTTGCGTCCTTAATTTACCGTGAAATGCCGCGTTGGCGACAACGTTCTCTCGTCCGCTAGGTGTTCATAGAGCGGGATGGCGAGCTCGAGTTCGTTGGCCTGTGGTCGGATGTGGAGAGTCTCAATGAGTGCGAGGCATTGCCCCCAGAGGTAAGACTTTCAAGCGAAACAATGCCGAGGGATATTATGTCGGCCCCTCCCCGAAACCAAACCTTATCCGAACGTTGTTTGCCGGTGTTTGAACTAGGATCACAGAGCTGTACTTGGAAGCCCGACAAACGTTAAAAGTTTCCGGTCCGCTAGTGAGGTCGTGTTGCTCGTCTTGTTTTCATTCCCGAGCAACCAAGTCCGGATGCGAGACATGTGTCGGAAGAGGCTCTGTGCATCCGCGTAACGTGCGCCATGTCTCGAATGAGTAGACGGCCGGGCGGAAAGAAGCACTAGTTCCACGTGTGCTAGCCCCCCTGACGGGGGCGGGGCGCAGGAGACTGGATGCATGTGTTGCGACACGACAGCCTCTGTAGCTGTATTGTTATATTGCAGCACGATAGTGCACACCGCCCGAGCAGGCAAACATGAATGAAGGTGAATGTTTTTTGGAGAAGGTGGATACGCAGCGCCGCGCAGCACATGAAAGCAAGTCCCTCCTAACCTCTGGCTTGTGTACGTGTCTGCTGCTGCTGTACTCGTTTGGTCCTGTTCTGCTCGCGGCTGAAAAAAACAAATTGGTGACTCGGCCGCGCGAAAGATTCTCGAGGCCAATCCGGAGATCAAGACGTTCAAGGGTGTGTTCGGAGCCCTGGTCGTCGAGAAAGGATCCCCTCGACCCCCCGGGGGCACCGCGGTGCAAGAAGTCCCCCAGGGGTAGGGTTCCGAGGCGAGAGGACCTTGGCTTGAGAGCGCCGAAACATTCCGCCCGGGTTGATGTTCTGAGCCACGAGAATTTTCTCGAGAATTTTCTGACTGAGGCCTTGGCTGGTGTATGTGTAGTACCAGTTGTTTCGATAGAGGGAACGAGTAGAAGAATGCTCGCGCGATGAATGTTTATCCAGGTCGCGCCTTGCTTTGCATTTTGTATTCCGCCGAGGCGTGTAGCTGCTGCTGCTGCGGCAGCGGCGGCGGCGGCTTCCGAGACTGCCCTTTGTTCTGGGGAGATGAGATGCACAACGGACATGGCAGTACAGCAGTCTTGATGCGCGAGCTTTGGGATGAGGTTATTGCTTACGTTCTCTAGTGGCGTTTCCCGAATACGTGTGGCTCGGGGGCGTGAATCGTCATTGTTCAGCTTGTCGTGTGTCACCGGCGCCTGCGCAAGAGAAGCTCACTGGCGCGCTTTTGTGTATTTTGTTGTTATTCGATCTACGATGGGGTTTGTGTAGGTGAAACATGTACTTCGAGTACTCTTAAGGAAGGCTTGCAAGAGAACGGCTCTGGCCGTCCGGTGATGACAAGCACCATCGTCACACGCCTCCACCGATATTCTCATACTTTTTAAGTTTAGGCCCTATGAAGCTCATCGTCTTGCAGTCGTCGTGTCCTCCTCCTTTGTGATGGCGTCTTTTTTGTAGCAAGTTTTTGTTTTTCCCATAGCCAAAAAGCTCTTTAGCGGGCGGGGCATATTTTACGACGCCAGACGGGACACAGGCGGATGGCGGTTGTTGGCTCTACGTTCAACCCTCTGCGTGTGTATTGTCCGCATCGATTTTGCCCATGAACGGTCACGTATACACCGGGGAGATGATGCGCAAGCGAATGGAAAGCCTACGCCGATTGGGTTATAGGGGGAAAGAGGGCCAACGAATAGTGGCATGTCCTTGGAGTGGGGGTGGGGGGCCGCAACACCATTCATTTTACGTTTTCATGGAGTTGATTTAGCTCAGGCAAGGACCCGAGATAACCTTAGGAGTAGAACAAACAGAAACAAACCGGTTCACTTCGTGACTGACCGACCTGAACAACCGAACCTGCATGTGCCACACGCGTTGTTTTCTATTTCTTACGGGCCTCGCAGCTGATCTGTTGCCCCCCCCCCCCCCCC